TCATCTAATAGCTTGGATGCAGGTTTGTTTTGAATGGTTTGAATTAAACGGGGATGTGCCACAAAAATGTAGTTGAATCAATTTAGCATTGTTCCAGCATATTAAAAGCCATTTTGTTTTGTAAATTAAACTTGTCAGTTAAAGAAGTTTGACTCCTACTGGTATTGGTTTCCCTGTGAATGTTGGGGGCAGAAGAATCATCAGCCTGAAGGAAAACACACAATCGGAGCATTTCTCACGGATTAAGAAAAGATGATTGCTCAATATTTCGACAATTACCTGTTGTATGTGACTGAAAGTAGGACCGCAGTGGACTATAGTCTTAAGCTTTGAAGGCTAATGGCTCAATTTTAGAAGTAATTTGGCGTTCGGTCCTCATTAATTTCTAATTATCTCTGCCAGCCTGCTCTGAAGTCTGATGGGGTTCATGTAATATGTCCAGTTAGTATTAGTTGAGTAGGAGAGAGATGTTCGGAGCAGAAGTAGTATTACATCAGTACTGCAGATTACCTGAAACTATTTTTTTAATTTGCAGCATGGAATAACACATGGAAAATGTTTTATCATTTATGTATCTAAGTATGTTAACCTGGCTTATTCATGACTGATATTTTACTGTGTTTGAAGTGCCTGAGCTTAGATAGATAGGATCTTCCTTTGGAGGCTTTGAAAATACCTTGTTGACTTACTTTAGGAGTGAGTTTCCATTAGATACCTTAAATGTAGGTATAAGTTAATACTTAAGAAGTACAGATAGAGTTTAGGAGATGGACGTCATTAGAGTATTGATGCTTCTCTCTCCCTGAGAACATTCAGTTCTTTTCACAGAGGGCTGGGCAAGCTTACTATAATCTGGATGCTGTTTTCACTCAATTTGGTAATTCTCCCACTTTGCACCGAGAACAAAGGTTAAGTACCTTTTCATATTTCTTTTGAATGCAGAAAGAAGGGTATTTTCTCACATAATAAAATAGAAGAGCAGTGAGCTCTACTGAGGCACAGAAAAGAGTGAGGTCTGTACTCCAGTCGTGCATAGGAGACAGCACAATGTCTGCGAGGATGTTGTTATTTAGGAATGGCTTCAGCATGGCTACTCCCACCTGCCTTTCTTGGTACTCAGAGCCAGGGGCTAGATATCTGGGTAGACTGCAGTGGTGGCTTAAGCTTATGTGACATAAGCTGTTGTTGGTGTCACAAAAATACAAGCAGTTGTCCTGCTCTTCTGGCTGATTTCTCCTTCAGGTTTTACTGCTTGTATCATTCTTTGATTTGCACCCTAAAACTGGAGGCAATGTGGCTGAGTGCTGTTATACAGCAAGTGGTATTTCATGCTTTGGAATCATTTTATATCAAAGATGCTGTTTACAGGAGTGTAATTTCATCAACTTAAAAGCAGAAGGATTAGCATTTGCTTCATTACAGAGTTTGGGGATGTTAATGGAAGTTTATAAACTTGACAGTATTTCTTAAGTGCTCATATTTCTTTAGTTGTGGGTGTGGATTTAGTGTCCTAATTATAGTACTATACTAGGAGGGGCAGATGAAGTGAATCACTGTTTTAAGGCTTTATTTTATTTGTCCCACCTTCTAAGGAGGAGTGAAATTCCTCTTTTTTTTTTTTTTTCTTGTATTCTGAATATTGTATGAGGTCACGCTACTGAAATTCTTACTGTGGAAATGATTTATACTGTTTGGTGACTGCTTTGGTGTTGCTGATTTGATAGGTAACAAAGATGTAGTCTCTAAATTAACATTACTGTTTCAAAATCAGTCTTAAAATGAGCTTGCTAATAAGCTAAGCCATTTTCTAGTCTGAAGATGCTTTTTATAAAAAAAAAATCATCCACTGGCCATTTTTGATGAATAAACCACTGTAGAAAAAATAAAATTCTTGCTGTTGATGCAAGTAAACATGACTGATGCTTGCAAAAGTCATTTTTGAAGAATACTAATTTTAAATTTAGAAAGCCCAGTATAAACAGAAGTGGTACATATGAGTTCCTTTATTCTCATTTTTTCCTTCCTGATAAAAACTTTAAAGGTATTTTATAAGCAATTTGAAAGAAGTCTTGAAAAATGCTACCCTCTTAACCAAATTTCTTGCAAAAACCCAGCCCCATTCTGCATATACTGAAATACCTCATCTTCCAAGCTTCACAGTTATGAGGATACAGATGAAGCAAATACAATTTGGATTTTCTCAAATTTTGAGTCTGTCCAACAGTTGACTTAAAAGTATCTTAACGTGCTATTTAGAGAAAAAAAAAAAAGTAGGAAAAAAAAAGAGTTGGAAGGAGGAGAGGTTAAACCCAAGTCAGGTACAATGCAGGTTTTGTTTCTTGTATGGCATCCCTATGATGGGTAAGCATTACTATCAATTTTTAGTTTTCTTTGAAAGAGATTATAGTTCATTGACCTGTGAGCTGCTATTATAACACACAGATAGGCTTTTTCCCACCGATGTCTGCTTTGTGCCCCAGTACCTCTGCACAGTACATGTCAACAGATAAATATGTCCATTGTTAAACAGAGAGTGATTTTTAGTTCTTTACCGGAAAAATGCTTGAAGATGTTGGGGTTTTTTGTTTTTTTTAGTTTATATACAAAATTTATATTGTTCTCTGACAGCTGGTTTTATCAATACTATTTTGTTCCTGTGCCAATCTTAATTTAAAATTCTGCATTGTCTTAATTATGCAGGTTTCTACAATCCCTTCGTGATGCTGTTTTTGAACACGCAGCTGTTATTAGCCCAGCTACAACATTAGAATTATTTCTAATTCCTGCTTTCTAATGAAGGGCTAGAGCACAAAGCAGCTTTATGTTGATGTATAAATTGATCACGGCCCCGTGTGTTAAATGCTGAATGGAATTCCGTTTTCCCTCCCTTTTTCCTTCCCCTCCGTCATCTCAAAAAATTAACGAAGAACTAGAAAAAATAAGGAAAATGATCATAAGGATGATAAAATGTTTGGGACACTTTTCCTACAAGAAGCAACTAAGTAGATTTCAATGTAACAAAGAGGTGATGTGGCAGAGATGGTTCGTAGAAAGTGTTCGGGAGCAGCTGTTCATTGTCTCTTTCAATACAAAATATTGGGAGGTGTCGAATAAAGCTTGCTAGTCCGCAGGTTCATAATCAAACAGCAGGAAATGCTTCTTTATACAATTTGTGGGTGACTTGTGAAACTCCTTGCTCTAGTACGTTTTGGATCTTAAAAGGGTCTGGTAATGACTGGACAAAAGCCTTGCAAGAAAGGTCTAGAGACCTCACTGCTTGACTCAGCCACAGATTTTTGTGAAGCTGGACGAATAATTGGGAAAGTGTCATTATGGCTTGCGTGGCTGCTAAATTCCTCCCCCCTCATCGCAGTTGCTCACTGCTGGATGCAAGGCCGGATAGATCTTTTTGGCCTGATGTTGTACAGCCACTCTTCATGGTCTAGGATTGCAGTTAGGGTTTCAGTTTGTGGTTTTTGTGTTTTGAGGAGATTTTTAAGCTTGTAAAACTTCATTTTTCATTATCTAGTTACCTAACAACTTTTTTTTATTTTTAAATTCATAGCACCAGCCTTTAAGTTAGGTGAACTTAATGATGTCCTTTAAATTTTTCCGATTTGAGATCTGGGTTTGTTTCTTATTCAGGTCACCTTAAAAACACTGAAGGATGATTAAGTGATAAGTATGCTAAATCCTTGCTTGAAAGGGATATCTCTGACGTATGGCAAAGAATCTTAGGTAGTGAAAAATATAAAATCTTCCTAAGCCAAAGCTGCTTTTTGGAGAAAAATTTTACTTGCTTGTATTTTCTAATGATCCTTTTGGGTTTCTGATGGAGCAACTAAAGGAATTGCTTCTTTAAAAACCTACCAATTTTTTTATTTTGTTTACAAAATTTCCTAATGGTGAATAGTTTTGGTAGTCCTAGCTCCAGGAGCAAGAAGGAACGTTTACAGGAATCCTGGCCTAGAAAAGTAGCAAGAGGAGAAACATGACAAACCATGCGAGAGTAAGTAACAGGTCGTGTGGGAGCTATCCTGGAATGGCAAACCCAACAAGTAGCAGGCTATCCTTTTTTTTGCAGTTTTTCTCTAATACTTCTACACAGTCTTCCATTCTGTGCAATTCTTTTTTGGCCCTGAAAGTAAGCGTAGGGCTTGGATTTGTGAATAGATAAGCTAATACTATCTTCTTTTCATGTCTTTGAATAGCGATTAAGGTTTTGAAGTTAGCTATGCAGAACTAGATGATCTCCGGAGGTCCCTTCCAACCTCAGCCATTCTGTGATTCTGTGATTTAGGAGTTACTGGAATGATGCTGCTTTTAGTTGAGACTGATGTATGAGTGTGCTAGGTGATAGTCCTTAAACATTTATCTCGTATTGTTTCTAAAACAAGATAGTGTCTTAATTCAATATGCCGAGCGTGATGAGCTGTGCAGTGTATCTTTTCCTTTTCTTCATTTACTGTGGGAGTTTAAGCCTGCTTTAGGGCAGGTTTAAGCCTGCTGCGTAAAGCCAGAGCAACTGCCGAATACTGGGTTCTTCTTCTTCTTTCGAAGCTCCTCGTTCATGCACACCCCATGGTAGTGGCCTCACTTATTTGGGGACTGTTTCTTTAAGCCTGGGCTGTGAGAAATGGTATATTGGTACTCTCTTACAAGGTGGAAAACTGGGACAAAGAGACTTGCCGGAGGCAACAGGGTGAGTTTGTAGTACTATCATAGGTAGACCTGAAGATTTCCTAAGTCCTGTAAAGTTTTTGCCATTTTTTTTTATACTGGCTTTTCAAAAGGATATTATTTCACTTAATAGTCCGATACTGACTAATACCGCTGCCAATATCCAGACAAGTAATCAGGCAGCTTGTAGGACACTGCGGCAGTTCGGAGTGTGTGTTTATATTTTAATTTTGTTCTGATTCAAACTATGTCTTTCCTCACTAAATATATTAATTTACTCATTAATACTGGTCGAAATGCTTGTTCTGTTTTTTTCTCAGAGAATTCAAACTGGAATGGCAATGTCTTTCTGCTTCCCTGGAAAGTGTGTCCACCAAGAATTACGTTTCGACAAGCTCGTATATTTGCTGAGATCCTTTAAAATCACCTTCAAGGTCCGATGTGTAAGGATCTTCTTTTCCGGACTAAAATTTGAATAAGCTTAACTGCCATGTGTTTGTTTTTTTTTTTTTTTAACGGTAACTCATCAAAGAATTTCAAATTAGCACACGAGCCAGTCATTCTTGTTTATTAAAAAAAAAAAATCTTAGAGATATAAAATTCCAGCCATACAAATTCTGCTAATCAACTATGCTGCTTTTACTTTCTAGAGCAAACAGCAATTGCTGCTTTGGTCTGTAAGTGTTTTGAGCTGCATTGTAATCTTTTTTTTCTTGGGAGGATTCTCTCTATGATATGTGTTTTTTGTTTATTTCTTTTTTCTTTCTACCTTTGTGGTTTTGTGTGTTTTAACAGGTGCATGTAGTACTTTTTTGGGCTAGAAAATAGTGCAGAATGAAAATGAGGGTGAGGCTTTTATTTAAAAAAAAAAAAAAAGGAAAGAAAAGAAAAAGCTGAGGAGGAAGTTCACTGCTGAAAGGGTTATTGTAATCAAGTTTATCATGGGAGCTTGCTGTTGTGTAACAGAAACTTTAACTTGTCCATACCTGTCTTAAAGCAGTACTTAATGAAGAAAGAAAACAAACCTACCAAAATATTTAGGAAATGCAATAAAATTTGTTCCCAAACTCCTAAATTTCAATGGATTAGGTCAGTTTATCTCCTTATTGGATGACTGACTCTGTTTATAAGAAGACTTTACGTTTTGTAGAAAAGTGGTATTTGTCATTCAGTTTTACCTTGGGAGTATGAGCAGGGCAACACTCAAAACACGTCTCTGTTGGTTTAATAATACTGAAACTCATTTATTCCCAGGCCACCTTGGCCAGGAATCATTTAGTGACTAAAATATCTTCCTCTGAAAGTAGTGTATTTAAAAAATCACCCATACATCCAAATAAAATCTTTCTTCTTTGTCTAGGAAAAGAGTTTGACTGTGAATGCTCGGTTAACCTTTTCTCGTGCATGGGGGTCACTGGCTCATCTACCGCTGTCTTGAACGCTTCACTAAAACCTGCATGTGTAATTCAATGCAGGCAAACATCCTAGCACACCTAGAATGTTTTTTCTCAAAAAATGTATAAACATTGTTTAATTCATCTTCTAAATGAATCTTCCCTCCCCCCCCCACCCCCTCCCCCCACACCAAACAACTCTGCAACAACGTTCAGGAACACTTTAGGATTTTAAGCTGAGTAGCTGTTCTGACTGAGATTTTAAAGGGCAGTCACCAAGGAAGAGAGAGAGACTGCCAGTGTTATTTCTCATATGATTTTCAAATGGTATCTTGGCTACTTTTTTTTTCCTGTGTGTTTATTGCCGAACAGGTAGCATGGGCACTGCGTTTACCTGGCTCCAAGACGGACCAATTAATTTTTATTGTCCTATGTTAACTACTTCAATTTTCCTTTCTGCCTGATGGGAGGCTTGTAAAGCAGCAAGTTTGAAGGTGTGCTTGGTCTCTTCATTATCTTTTCTAGTGGAAGAGCTCTTATGAGCTATACGTTTTCTTAGTAGTTATCGAAATGGAGTCATATGAGTTTCACCCTCCTTTGTTCTTCCTGTCATTTGGTTCCTTTTCAGTAATGCCAGGCACACCCTTTCACTGTTACATCAGCATCTGGATGTGATTCATGGATACCAGGATTTGAAGAAATGTATCCGCTCAATCCACATAAAAAGACAGTACCACATCAGATGCAAGCTCTGTTGAATCTGGTCTCCTGTTTCTGATAGTGACTTAAGCAAGAATGTAAGAACAGGGTATAATGGTTCTTCCTTAGCGTACTTTCATACTTTCCAGCAATTCCCAAGTCTGGAACGTTTCTACACAGCATACAATACCCATCTTTTACATTGCATATGTCTTTCCTCTATACTCGGTACTCTGCCAAAGAAATCACTCATCAAAAACCTAACTTGAGACTACACAGAATCTAGCTGTGCAACAAAGCTGACTACGTTAGTCTTGCAGTCTAACGTAGCTGGGGAAAAAAAAAAGTATTAGTAAGCGCACTTATTATTGATAAACACTGTGTATTATTTTTAACAGCCTTTAAGCTCCTTTAATTTGTGTGGTAATTATTGCATTAATGTCCTGCTTTTCCAGGTGGGATGGTGATGATCCCTGAGAGGTGGATAAAGGTTAGGCAAGGGGAAAAAATGACATTTAAAAAAAATAAACATCAGCAAGATTCTTTAGGGCATGTTTGTATAGGAGGTAACCAGATTGGTAGAACAGCATGAGAGCACTGAATTGATGAGGGGCAATATGAACAAATGGAGGGGAAATCTGTACTGCAGGAGTTTTGTCCTGCCAACCTCATTAAGGATCTCTAGTACATAGAGATTGGGTCACAAGGTCATTTCATTCAGTTTTGGTTAGCAATTTGGGTATAAATGTCATAGCTGATACAGTTACTGTCTTTACTGTCGGTTCTGTTATGTAAGGTGCATGTGGTACTGGCTGGCTTCATCCCACACCAGTCTGCTAGCACGTGTTTATGCTGCAGACTGTAAACTAACTGATGTATCTGAACCAGTTAAGTAGCAGAAGCAAAGTAAGGTGAACCAGACTGTACGGAGCACCCTGCTGCTGTGCTCATTGTTGATATCTAACGATAATGTAAACATCTTACGTAGTTGTAAAGCTAGTTTGGGTTCTCAGCAGTGTATATTTCAATGCAGGCTTTGTTCAGAGATGTTAACTTACATTAAGGGTTTTTTTTTGTTTTTATTTTTATTTTTTTACAATAACTGTCTTTTGTTTTATGGAATGACAAGGATTAAACCAACTTGTGGATAGTATTGCAGAAAACCAACCTCTAAATCTTATAATTTGATGTTTTCCAAATCTTTATATTTAAATAATTACTTTTTCAGTCCATTTCTTGAGAAGCTGGCAGATTCTTTTTCAAAATTGATCGAGATTGTCTTGATAGTCTTAAGGATGACCATCTTGCAGGTTTTCAGAGAATTCCAAGCATATCCAAACTCTAAATTTCAAAGAGATTTCCTGAGGCCAACAAAAAGCTGGTAATGAAGAAGTGACATCAGTTCTTACTAGACTTCAGTATTAAAAGGTCACTAAAGAATCATTTAGAAAATATGGCCACTGCTGAACAGCAGGAGCACAACAGTATGTAGAGTCTTAAAAAACAGGCAGGCATGGGAAGAAAGGAATCTGTAGATGGAAGTTCACAGGTAGAAGAAGGGGGAAGGGGAAGAGAACTGTGCAGAGTAAAAATACTGGACAGGAGAGGTGTATGCAGGGAAGAAAAAAGATAAAAGGGAGGATTTGAAACAAGTAACTCTACAATTCATTCTTCGAAAAGGATAAAACATCATTGCAATAAAATAAATTAAAGTGTGCATATGTAGATAGTTACTGTTGGGATGTCTTCATGATAGAGAAGAAGAAAATGATCTATACAATCGTGTAAGAAAGAAGAATCAGAGCAAATGTAAAACAAAAATGAATGAATCTAGAAAGCCAGCCAATGTCTACAGTTTTCTGCTTGTTGATCAGCAGCATTCTGATACTGCTCAAACAAGTATGAGAGGCTGCAATCTTGGCTCACCCGAAACAATTACTTGTTACTGTGATCTGATTAGCATATTAATAATTTGGCTTCTCCTCTTCTGAAAACCAGGTTATTCTTTTCTAATACAGGTGAAAAATTTCTTTGCACCTTTTGAAAGACAAAGGCAACTGATTTAAATAGTCTAACAAATATTTATCACCGTGAATATCTTATTCTAGATGCTTCTTTACTGACTGAGCAGTGTGTATTTTGACTTCAACTTGGTATAGGAGGCAAAAAAAAAAATTCTCAAATAGTACTAAGCTTTTTTACTACTTTCTGGAGAAGATCTGAAGTTTCGTTATGTGTGGGAACAAGATTCAAAGACCTTAAAGATGTAACTGTTAAGAAAAGTCTGTCCTCAATAAGCTCTGTATCCAAATCTAGACGTGTTATAGACTTTGTCATCGTTGATCAATCTTGAACAAATTCCAGCTTGTGAAACACCTGAAAAGGCTATCAGATGGTATAGCTTTAGAATGGCTTTCTGACAGTCTTCCTGGCATGAAGTGCTCTCAGACGTTCGTAGATGAGGTTTATTCATTGAATGTTTCACAAGTTCTGGAAGCAGAAGGTGAGCGCCCAGTATCTGCGTGGATGGGGCAGTTGGCCCTAACATTTTGCACAGAAGCACAACTGAAAATATGTAATGCAAAACTTTTAAATTTGTGATTGGATAAGAGAAAGTTATTCTTGGAGAACATGTGGCATATGATCTAATACTGTCCCCTCTTACCCAAGTGCTCCTCCCTTGAAGTTTAATCACAAGGTGCTGGAAGCACAGTTTTCTCAGCTGAAGGAGGCCGCAGCTCAGGAGCTTGCTTTCCTAGTTGATTCGTTGGTTGACTTTCAGTACAACTTGTTTTATTAGTGGTTTTTTTTTTTTTCTTTTCCTGGGAGAGAGATGTAGCTAGGTGGAAGGTGATAAATTTTGTTAATTTTGAGGCTGCTCATTTTATATATTTTGCTTTTTCTTAATGTGTTTTACTAATATTTAATATGTTCATTGCATGAAAGTAGGGTGTTCTTTTTGTTTAGGGCCTCCAGTGAGTATGGAATAAGAGATTTAGTGTATGAAATTACATCTCTTTCAGAGACGTTAAACAGAGTATCAAACGTATGTAGTGATTGGTAAGAAATTTCAGTGCTTGATTACTGACGCGCTTGACAGTCTTCAGCCCTCAACCTTCAAGCTTTCGGGCGTTTGCTATGATGCATCCTAGTGAGACTTGGCCTTACGTTTGATTCAACTTCCACTTCTAGTTTACAGTTCGAGAGATTACTGTGTACTCCAAGAAGTGTGTCATTCAGTTAATTTTGCGTTGTGCTGACTCAGCACTCTGTTACAGAAAGATCAGTGAATGTTTTTGAGTTTAGGGTGTTAAGCCCTGGTACATAGCAATGCATTTGGTTGGTGATACATTATGGTGGATTAGTATGCCCTTCCTAGATCTGTACATCCCTACTGTGTTTACAGCTCTTTATCAACACTTATCAATTAAGAATAGTTTTGTCTGTTAACACCCTCTTTAAAATAAGCCAAATGATAGCTGTAGGTATTCTTTTTTTTTTTTTTTTCAGTTTTCACGTCATTTGTGTTTGCTATTCAAAAAGGCATCAGTTGCCATTGTGAAGCAAAGAGCATTTATATTCATTTTAAAAAAGATCCAAATTTACTTCCCTAAATTGCAAGCCAAAGCCTGGATTGGATACTAAAACTTTTGAAACAAAAGTAAATGTTGGGCATGAGGAGGAAGGGTTGATTCACTAATAGCTAGGACAGGAAAACTATCTCCTTATGCAGTAAGAGAAGCTCATCTATAAAGTGACAGAAGGTACCTACCCTAGATCCTCAAATTAAGAGCTGTATTTAAAGTACCTCTTTGTTAAATGAGAACGTTTAAATAATTTCACTGGTGATACTTTACTATTTGAGAATGGGAATGCTTTCAGTGACTGAATTTCTAGTGTCTTAATTTTCATTTTCATCTCTGATATGCTTTTAATAAACTGGTTTCAGCTGCTTTTCAGTAAAGAAAAATCATATTTCCATTATTTCCGATTAGGAATATTACTGGTGTGACATTTTTATTTGAATTATATGTGACTTTAATTTTTCTCTAGATACACTCAAGAGAAGTTACATACCATTCAGGTTTTGTTTCAAGACTGTTTTGCTATTCGGTTTAGAACTGCTTTTTAGAAGGAATGGAAAGTGCTGTAAGCTCAGGCCTCTGTAGAAGTCTGGTAATGCGTGTTTTTCTTGTTTCTCAAGACAGTCCTGTAGAAGTCGAAGCCACTTTTTAACACTGTTTAGAAAATACAATGAACATGATACGACTTCCTAACTGTTATAAAAATGCATGTGTAATAGCGACAGTAGAATTACTTATTTGCTTAAGCATGTATTCATACAATTAAGCAAGTCCTGACTGCAATCTGAGGGGAGATCATTTAAAAAAATAAGTGGAAGTGCTGGCAATTGTTCAAACCTATGCAATTTGAGCATTGGCTGCATAGCTTATATTAAAACAGATTAAGGTAAAGAACTGAATGAAAAGGCATTATTTCAGTGTTACCGTTGTTGCAAATGTAATTACTGTGTGTTTTTAATCTGGTCTATGAAAAAAGAAGCCTGAATTTGTTCTTTTCTGAAAAGTTCTAAATCTATGCGCTAAGTGTAAGCGCATGCTAAATTCCTAATAGGGAAAATACGTTATGAACATAACTGACTTGATAAATATGAATATGTGATAAGGTGCTGAATCACAATGACAAACAAGCAGAAAATGCACTGTTATTATACATTTAAAACAGTGAAGTAACCTGAGCAACTGAAAACGGTCATTTTAACAGGTATATTCGAGTAATCATTTAAAGTATAAAGAATTGAGTACAGTACAATGTTTACTAAGACAGTTAAAATATTAAGAGAGTCAAATCTTGCAATCCAAACTTTACTTTACTTCAGTAAACTTTACCAGATCCTGCCAAGTTCATTACAAATAAGCATGTCAGAATCTCTAAGTTACATTCTCTAGCAGAAAAGCTTCAGTAGGAGTAGGGAGAACTTTCTTCATCTAGTCAATAATTTTTAAAAGAAAGAGTTGCAGATTGATTTTTGTGAATAAATATGCAAATATGGAGTTAGATTTTTCTTTTTGCAAGAAAATCTTTGGAAAGTTTCTAGAAAATGTGAGCCCACTGCTGAATGGGAATGGTGACCTGGTCACAGAGGTCAAAGTACTGAATGCCATCTTTGCCTCAGTCTTTACTGGTAATTCTGGCCTTCAGCAATACCAGATCCCTGAAGCCAGTGGGGAAGTCCAGGGCAAGGTAGACTTACCTAGGTAGATCAGAATCAAGCTAGGGGATGTTTAAACACACTGGACATATGTAAGTCCACGGGCCCTGATGGGATGCACCCATTAGTGCTGTGTGAGCTGGCCAGTGTTGTTACCAGGCCACGGCCTCGATAATCTTTGAAATGTCATGGCTCTTGGGAGAGGTCCCAGAGGTCTGGAAGAGCGCAAACGTCCTCTCTGCCTTCAGAAGGGGCAAGGAGAAACTGGATCTGTCAGCCTCATATTGATCCCTTAGAACGTGATGGAGCCAACAATCCTGGAAGCCATTTCCAAACACAGAAGGGCAAGAAGGTGACTAGAGGTAGTCATCACAGATTTATGAAGGGGAAATCATGTATGACCAACTGAAGGACAGACTAGAAAAGTGGTCAGCCTTGTGGATTGAAAAGTGGATAAACTGCCAGGCTCAGAGGGTTGTGATTTATGGCATGAAGTCCAGTTGGAGACCGGTCGCTAGTGGTATCCCCCAGGGGTCAATACTGGGGCCAGTACTGTTTGAAATCTTCATTAATGACCTAGACAATGGGGCAGTGTACCTTCAGCAAGTTTACAGATGACAGAAAACTAGGAGTAGTGGTTGATAGACCAGACTGGCATGCTTCCATTCAGAGGCTCCTCGACAGGCTGGAGAAATGGGCTGACAGAAACTTTATAAAGCTCAACCAAGGGAAGTACAAATAACCCCATGCACCAGTACAGGCTGGGGGATAACCAACTGGAAAGCAGCTTGACAAAGAAGGACCAGAGGGTCCTGGTGCACAGCAAGTTGCATGAGCTAGTAATGTGCCCTTGCAGGCAAGTAGGCCAACAGCCTTCTGGGCTGCATTAGGCAGAGTGTTGCTAACAGGTTGAGAGAGGTGATCCTTCCCCTCTGCTCAGCAGTGGTGAGGCCATGTCTGGAGTGCTAGGTCCAGTGCTGGGCTCCCCAGTGCTACAGAGTTATGGACACGCTGGAGCGAGTCCAGCCCTTCGCTGGGACTGGAACATCTGACATACGAGAAGAGGCTGAGAAAGCTGGGCCTGTTCAGCCTGGGGAAGAGAAGACTGCGGGAGGATCTTATCAATGTGTGTAAATACCTGATGGGAGGGTGTAAAGATGATGAGTCAGACTCTTGTCAGCAGCGCTCAGTGAATGGAGAAGAGGCAACTGGCACAAACTGAAATACAAGAAATCACGTTTAAATGGGGTTGTTTTTGGTTTTTGTTTTGTGGTTTTTTTAATAGCAAAGGTGTTCAAATACTGGAACAGGGTGCCCAGAGAGGTTGTGGAATCTCCATCCCTGGAGATGCTCAAAACCCAAGTGGACCCTGAGCCACCTGTTCTATGTGACCCTGCTCTTTGAGAAGGGGTTTTGGAGTAGACGATCTCCAGAGGTCCCCTTCAACCTCGACTGTTCTGTGATTTGGTGTTCTGTTAAAATTTAGAAATTTCACTCTCAGCTGTGCCCCCCCCCCCCCTCCCCCCCCCCCTTTTTGGATGTATTTTCAATTTGGGAGCATCTGGACACATTGATCCCTTTACATGAAAGATGGTGCGTTGGTTGCAGGTCTGATGAGCAACTTTATATATGATTGCTTCATATAGGGTGCTAAGGAAGGCAGTGTTTCTGCTTTAAGTAATACAGTATTTTAAATCAATAACTAATATAGTAATAGAGCAAGTGTATAAAACACTCTAACCCTGTCTTTCAGTCATGGCCTGTATATGAAGAAGTGTTCAACAAAATGCTTCAACTTGCCGCATTTTTAGAGCTGCCTCGTTTTCCAGATATAACGGACATCTGCTTTCTTCATCCAGACATGTTGTGCATGAAGTACTTGATGGAAGCTAACTTACCTGGTGAATATTTTCTCCAACCTGAACAGATAAAATTTTTCTTTAATGTGTTAAAAATCTAGTAAAAGGACTTGAATCAGTACTTTGAAAGTTCCTACTCTTTTCTCTCTGGTTTATACATGTTTAAGTTTGAACCTGAAAGATAAGTAGAAAGTGCCTTCATCAGACACGTACTATAAGCCCAGATATGCAAGATTTTGAGCACTCTGATGCTCACTCTGTAAACCTAACCAGGAGATATTTCATTTCAAATGTCTGAGTATCCATGTGAAATAAGAGGTACTAGTTGAAATCAAGTGATTTATTAACCTGGGTGACTCATGAAGTGAGGACCAGAGTACAAGTGGGATTACCTTATGAAATAGTATTTTTGAGCGAGTTTGGAATACATATTTTATAAACTCAATTTAAATGAAAAGGTGTTCTTGAAATTCACTTATTTTTTAAAGAGTTCTCTTTAATCTGCATGTTTTAAAAACTGCTGTGCATTCCAGCTTTGATTGCTTCACTCTTTTATTACTTAACGTAAATGTTTTGGCAAACAATTGCTAACAGAGTATTTGAAAGGACTACTTTGTAAATCCTAACTTTCTGTGCAGACAATGAATTTCAGTGGGTTTTTTTGCATGTTGATTTCCCCTTTCCCATTAAAAGCTAGTTTGAGGAATTAAAATAAACCCAGCTCATCATGAGAGATCCATATATGTGAATGGAAATGAAAAGTAACTTTGTTACTTGAATTATTAGCATTAATTTTATTATTAACAAGTGATGTTTGACAAATCAGCTTCTGTCTCACTTGGTTTCTGATTTAATGTTGAAATCATATATTGTATGAGTATTTAATGTTTGTTGTTTATCCTAAAATTAGATATTGTATATTTAATTAACTAACAAACCGATCAGTCCTCATATATGAACTGTGTCTGGCGGGCTACCATACTTGCCATCAGATATCACTTTCACTTAAGATGACTTCTGAAGACAAATAGCCTATAAATTATTTTTTTCCTCACAACATGTCAATTCGAGCAATTCATAGGTTTTTTTATTGTTTTATTTTGCAGTGCATTGAATAAAATTACATAGCTTTTATATATGCTCACAATTGAGTGAAGAAGAGACAGCCTTCAGATTTAGGGCTGAAATTCCAGAGTAGAAATGCTAATTTATTCCTTTAGAGCCTATGTGGGATCCCATTATTTTTAAGGCTTTGAAGTATCAATCAAATCAAGGAAAGTCTAGAAGAAAATCTGCAAATTTAGCATATTCAGATTTATTACAAAGAAATACAAAGCTAAATACTCTGGAAAATATTATAAAAGAAGAATATTTTGTGGTGTATGTTTTCTTTGCAACTAAATATTTTTATTGTGTGGAAACTTTTATTCACTGTTTGAAAAAGGACTACTGTTGTTATATAGCAACTCCTAAAAAAAAGTAAATTAAGTAATGAGTTGGCAGCGTCTCTGAGGACGTTAAATAACAACAAAGAGTCCATTTTAATAATCTAGCTTGCAAGAAAGTATACTGACAACATTTGTAAATATATATATATATATGTGTGTGTGTAGGAAGAGCTTTTATGGGTTTCAGTTTTTGCTTAGCTTCTACTGCCATATATTAGAGGATTAAGAAATAGTTCGTGCTGAACTCTTTGTAAGCAGCAAGAGGATACAAAGTATAGCTGGATTAACGTTGCACTTAGTCATACATTGCTAACCTTTGTGGAATCCGCTGGTGATGTAATCAACTCTTGTATTTCTTGCTAAACAGGAAAGGTGAGAAATTTCGGGGATTTGTATGTGTGAAAAATAAGCATAAAGTAATAAGAGACTTTATAGATATCATACTGCTTCTTTTGGAGCTGTAGTCGTGTCCTCTCTCTCTCTCCTCTTTTTCCCCCCCCCTTTTTTTTTTTTTTTTTTTTTTTTAAAAAACCCCAACCCAAAAAAACAGCATAATGCCAATTTTCATCTAAACTGGGAACGTCTGTGCTTCAGACTACTTTTTGTCCGGGTAACTGCCGAAGGCTGTGCCGCCATGCCAGGCTGCGATGAGTGCCCGAGTGTCTGCTTGCGATGCTGCAGGCTGGCGCTGTTCTCGCGTGTGTGTTTACCTTTCTTGCGTTCAGGAAGAAGGTTGTGAAAAGCTTGTTGCTGCTGTTAGTTTTTGTTGTTGTTTTTAAAGTTAGAGTTTAAATGTATTTATGTAGATTTAAGATACGATTTCCTGGGACAGTGTTCAGGACGATCTAATAACATCGTTAGAATAACATCAAAACACTGTTAGAACTGTGTGGTTTTCTTCTGTGCATATATAATAAATTGCAACTGTTTCTTTATATAAATGTAATGAAGATTACTTAATATTTATAAAAATATCCAAAAATGCTTTTCAGCTGGAAAACGTTGTCTGATGGTCATGAAAGTTATAAGCATTTTTTTTTCCTCAAATCACTAACATATTTGTAGTGTAAAAATACTTTTAGCTTGTCTCAACATACTCATTTAATATTTTTGTTTATAATAATCAGATGAATTGCATAACTGGACTTGTCGAGTGGTGAAAAAGATCCATATTGGAGAAACAGATTTCCTGACTTTTGCACCTGGAAATAAGTCAACAAGGAAAGTGAAATATGATGTTCTTGCTGCAGCAGTTATTGTAGTGGTGCTCAAATTGCTGTTTTTACTAGATGATCACTATGAATGGTAAGCGTACAGGCAAATGGGTATCAAAGCCCAAATATTCAAATAGTGCAAATTACCATGTTAAATATTTTTTCTTTATTAATATTTTATTTATATATTTGAATTTTGGTTGAGTTCAGTTACGGAAAACATATAGACTTGAAAGCAGTTTTGTCCTTAAGTGTTACTTATTTTTTGAAATCATCAATTTTAAATCTGGAACTTGGGATGAAAATTGGGGTACTGTGTTTTTTCAGTTGTATTTGAAGTTCATATTTAAAGTTGTAAAAGTGCCGTTTTTGGATCTACAGAATAGTCAATCTGATTTTTTTCAGGCTACTGTCAGATGTTGCCGAGGAAAGAAATAAAAACAACAAAGAAGGTACATAGATATTCTAGCGGAAGCAGTCTGTCATGATTTTGTAAATTAAATAACTTTGTAGTCATGCTTGGAAGATTTAGTGCTATTGATCATTCAAATGTGGGTTTTAGCATTCATTAAAACATTTTTGGTAGGCTTTTTTTCGAGCAAATCTTTATTTAGAGAAAAGAGCGGATCTTATTTTCATAAAATTGTCTCAGTTTAGCTGCATAATTTTTATTGTACTCGATAGGCGAATTATGTACACGTTTTGCTAGATACCCTTCTGCTTTTCGTTGTGCATGTTTACCTCTTTTGTTTAGAGTTTTGTCCTTTTATGTACGTTAGGTAAAGATGAATGCTTACACAGTGAAGAGGGAACACGCTTTGATCATAAATAGCAGATACTTATTAGGGGCATCAAACCACATTTATGATAAAATCCAAACTTGTTTAGTCACGTTAAATAAAATGTCTTAGTGTGTAACATATTTCAGATGTAATCTATTTCCTTAGTCTAAATAATCCTGAGAGAGTGTGGAAAAGCTAGCAGCAATTAAGATAATGATGTGAACATGGCTCTTTGAGGGCAAAAAGACTGAAGCAAAGATTAGAAATCTTCAGGAGGATGTTCCATTGCTCTTATCCAGATCACAGTTGAAGATAAGACCGAAGATGTGTTACAGGGATTTGTTTTCCATCCAGTTTTGGGTCCATTTTGACCCTTCTGTTACTTTTTTAAAATGTAATTCAATAACAAAATCAGTGTTAGCAATGTGCAAACACAAGTGTTGCTGCGTCTAGAAATAGTCATCCTTATTAACTTTAAAAAAAAAAAAAAAAACCAAACATAACTCATTTCCATCTAGATGCACAAACATATTTTGGATCTTATTTTTCTTTTCCGTTTCCCTTGAATAGTTGAAATTCGTAAGAGTGACAGGGAGCAGAAGTTGCACAACTCCTTACAAGCTGAGGCTCCAAGCCATTAATGTCTTAATGGGGTTTCTCCCCTATTAACAAGTCTCGTTGCCTTTGGGAGTTAACAGCTCATTCTTTACCCACTTTTTAACCTTGAAATCTTCTGGTGCAGAATGCTGCATGCTGTATGCTGTATTGTGTTGTCCCTATTCTTAAAATGTTGCAATGATGGCGAGCAGCTGTGCAGAAGAGCTGATGTGAGAATTTCTGTTAGAGTACTGATTAGTGCCAAAGCTCAGAACTGCCTCTGGCATTTTGGCAAAGTTAGTGTACTGAAATGAATAATGATTAGTTCTGAGTTTTAAAGATCCATATTATATTACGTTAATTTTCAGTTTAACAGTTCTTTTTTCTAGTGTTCTTTTTCTTTCTTAAGGGGAGAAAAGGGGAATTTAGGTTCTACATTTTTTTCAAGACAGACTGAAAGTTACACAGTAGATATTTGTCGTTACCTAGTACTTTTATGTGTATATGTTCTTGAGTTGCATGCATATATACATACATATATACATCTCAGTCACATATTTATCTGAACATAAACAGTATTCTGTATCACAGAGCTGTACGTTTTCCAATTGATTCAACTATATCAAAATAAGTCTAGCAGCACCGGACAGATAAAAGGTTAATACAGCGTAGTAAGGTGCTTCTGACAGTGAGTTTGCTTCTGATAGATGTTGAAGGAAAGAGTAAAAATTAAGACAAATACAAAATTTTCCTTCCCCTTGCATGCCCTGCCAGCAGACTGTGACTTGAGGAGTTCATAGCAGAACTGAATCCACACGTTGGAACCTTAAGAACCAGTGATGGATTTCTCTTCCTTGCATTTGTCTACCACTTTTTGAATCCATCTATATGAGCATTCAAAACATCTTGTGGCAGAATAACTTGAATAAAGCAAAAATATAGATAGCACAAAACATATATAAGCTTACTTATAAGAACAGTATAGTCAACTTCAAAACAGTTTAAATAGCTAGCTGGCAAAAGTAAGCATGATGCAAGCATCACATGCAGTGCAGCTGGGGTGATGGGGAAACGCAACGCCTAATTAATTCACAATGCAGATAATTCACCCACAGTTAATAAGAGTTGACTGTACTTTAAAAGTTATACTCCACGCTGTGATTCTGCTTAGGATTCTTTTACTGCTGTACCGTGTTGATTCGCTCCTGTCCTGTGCTCTCTGGAGCATCGATGGTAAACATACTGCTAGAACGCCATTTGCCTTCGTGTCTTGCATGTATTAGTAAATACTTGTTCGCACATCAGTGAATCAAGTTCCTCTACTCAAAAATGTGGAAGGTTGATGTGAAGTGAATGCAATTGTCAGGTTCATCCTTCCTGCTCTGTAACATTTCACAGGCAGTAGGAAAGACTGTGGAGTTAATCAAACTGCTTGAAATTGTAATCTGAATTTCTTAGAACTTAACTGTTCATGTTTAAGCTTGATCTATAAAGTTTCACTAATATGTTGAAGTCAGCTTTCAAAAAGATGAAGGTCGGTTCACATAGTAGAGCTCTAGTTCATTTGGTAGAGACAAGGAGGTAGTTTTCAGCCTTAACCTCTAGAAAGGAGGGAAGGTTTGAATTGTGCTAAATCTATGAAAACTATTCAAAGCTAAGGAGCTCCTCCACACTTCTTAAGAAATCCTGCTCTTTTTCTGCATTTCTACTTTTCATTTCTTTGACAGATGAATTGCTAGCTCAGGTATGTTTTCTGTGGATATAAACAATTCAGATTTTTTTTTACAAACTGAAGACACAAGGTCTGACTGCATGTAGATCACCTTTTGAATATTACGTAGTTCTTTCATTTCTTCTTAAACCTAAAATGTGGATGTTGAATGTTTTCTTCAGATGGTCCATATTTCGAGTTCAAAAAGTGGTACAAGGTTATAAAAAGTTCCTTGGATGTGGAGCAGAAGAAACTGGATGAAGAAAAAGCCAAGTAAGAGGTTTAAAAAAACCTTTGTTTTTCTTTTTTTTTTGGATAGACAGTCTTATGTGAAGATTCCCCACAGCAGTTGAAAAGGGTAGGAATTTGCCCCGTATTTCAATACAGTAAGCTTGGGTGAACGAAACAGTTAAATCCCTATCTTAGTCTTCTATTTACACTCATAATGTTTATCCAGCATAATAATTAAATGCTCACTTTCTGTGACAAGTGGCTTATACAATCAAACAATTAACTGATTACAGTAAATCTATGATTATATGCCTCAGTTTGTCTACTCTGAAAAAAGACTTACTGCATACATAGTGTGTGGACGGGGTGTTAATGGCACTAACCATTAGAGTATTCCAATTTTGTTTTAAATAGCTTTAGCACTATTTGCAAGAAATTACTATTATTTTATAGGCTTGTTTCAACTGTCTTTTTCCTTACATTTTTCATTTCTCTTACTGATAGGTATCTGTGGAGATGTGAAAAGCCACTGTTTTACTCAGCCAAAAAGAAGTCTAAAGTTCTTAAGAGAAGGCGTGAGTAAACTTTACCTCTTTCAATCAACACAAAAATCTGCTCCAGCTTTTCCCATCACAGAAGATCTGCAAGCCCTAACTGTGATAATATTTGCATCCTAAAATACTTTTCCTTCTCTCTTTTATCTCTGGGCTCAATTAATGTACTATTTTACAACCCATGGTTCAGTCAGACGTTTTCCTCAAGCTCAACTCAAACTGCCTTTGCCGATGTCCCTAAATGACCTACTTAACCTAATCTCAGAATGAAAATTCTGTCCTCATCTCGTCTCGTTTGTCAGCTGCCTTTAGATAACTGCTTTTCATGAATTGTTATTGCTCTCCCATGGCTTTTGTATGCCTTTTCCCCTTTACTTCCTCTTATCACTCCCCCAGTATGTCCTTTGGTAGATCCTGTATATCCCTCTTCTCTCCTACTCGTTCTTGCAGTCTCCTATAGAAAGCAGGGGGTTTTGTCTGAATGTGACTTTACTTAAATGGCTAGCTATATGCGGTCAGTATGGTCAGAATAAAGGTCCATCTATCCTATTTCAGTAGTCCTAGAAGTACCTATAAGAAATTACTGGCTTTTCCTTGTTTCCTTTTTTTTTTTTTTTTTTAATGTATCAGTTTAAAAAAATTACCTGTGGAAATACAGGAAACCAGAATTTTATTCAGCCAAATAAACAGAATGAAGAACTTCAAGTTTTATCTACCAAATAAAAGATACTGAGAGAGAGAGATGGTAAGAAATGTGGCAAGTGATATTTTTTCCCTTGATACACTCTGCCAGCTTCTGGCAGTGGTCCAGAGACTTCTAAACAAGCTATAACATCATATTTGGTATGAATATCGCTTGTTGGACTTCTCTTGCAAGAATGCAATCTTTTTTGAACCTATTTATACTCTTCTCAACATTGTGTAAGGGTGATCCTGCAGTTAAGTCATGTTCTGTAGAAAAATATATTTTTTTTTATTTCAGACTGATCATGCACTTCGATTCCCTTTAGTCTTGTGTTTATAGGAAAAAGTGAATAATCATTCATTGGTCATGAGTTCTGTTCCACTCTAGAGACCCCTTCTGATTCTGCTTCTCTTAAAACTAGGAAGAGCCTAGATCACTGAACTTTGTCACTAGCCATTGCAAGCAAGAATACTACGTACCGCTATTACAACTGGTCAAGTTTCATTTTGAAACAAATTTAAAATAGTAGAGACCAAAAATACCTATGCAAAGAGTGCTCCAGAATTGTACTCCTTCTGATGTTTAAACAATGTTTGAACATTTTCTAATTTGGGGTGATTGTTTTTTCTGGGCAGTTAGCATGTTTCTCGTCCTGGAACTTTCCTTTAAATTAAATAGCTTTTTACCCTTCCTGGTGTTTACCGTACACTTATGTGTCTGATGTACGTTTTCAGAAACCTTCCTCAGCCTTTGTTTTTAATGGTGGATTTTAGTGTCCTCTTGAAAGATAAGCTTCCCGTTCCTTAGATCACTTTAGGATTTCTTCAGTGTGTTTTTTCAATTTATGAATGGGATTATTCCGATCCCAGCTTTCTTGATGTTGCTCATAAAAAATAAGTTGAAGCTACAACGTTTTTAGCCTGCTTTTTATCCTAAGGAAAAAAGGCATATGTGATTGTAATGGGTGTGTTGGTCTATCGTCGTCATACCTTCTCTCCATCTGCTTCAATAACTAATGAAAGTTTGGTCATAATCTGTCCCATTTGGCAGGGGTAGACGTCTCAAAGATAATATTGTTCTTCTTGAGTTCTGAAAATGGAAGACAGGGAGAAGAAAGAGATCCTATAAAATATCCCCACTAAAAGGAAAACTGTGGTGTGTTTTTTGTTTTTGTTTTTTAACCCGTATTAGACAACAGAAAGAATACTTCTGAGTATGCTACACCAGCCATGGGGAAAAGTGGTATCTTCTTTTTTTTTTTTTTTTTTTTTTTAAAACCCATTTTTTTTTTTTTTTTTTTTTTTTTTTTTTTTTTTTTTTTTTTTTTTTTTTTTTTTTTTTTTTTTTTTTTTTTTTTTTTTTTTTTTTTTTTTTTTTTTTTTTTTTTTTTTTTTTTTTTTTTTTTTTTTTTTTTTTTTTTTTTTTTTTTTTTTTTTTTTTTTTTTTTTTTAAAACCCAGTTGGAATTTGCACGGTGACAAATTTAATCTTGTATGCACATGTGTAGAAAAAAAGACATCCTTAATTCTACCTCACAGGAAACTACTCAGTAAATCTTGTCCACTCTGACTGATAGCATATGACCAATTAAATATAGTGAAAGGCATCCTGGCACATGTGTGCTAGCAGAATAAAAAATATCAGCAGTATTGAATGGATTTTACTGGCTTTACTGGGTTAACCCGTATTAGACAACAGAAAGAATACTTCTGAGTATGCTACACCAGCCATGGGGAAAAGTGGTATCTTCTTTTTTTTTTTTTTTTTTTTTAAAACCCAGTTGGAATTTGCACGGTGACAAATTTAATCTTGTATGCACATGTGTAGAAAAAAAGACATCCTTAATTCTACCTCACAGGAAACTACTCAGTAAATCTTGTCCACTCTGACTGATAGCATATGACCAATTAAATATAGTGAAAGGCATCCTGGCACATGTGTGCTAGCAGAATAAAAAATATCAGCAGTATTGAATGGATTTTACTGGCTTTACTGGGCGTGTTTTGGGAGTACCCCAGTGCTAATATTGTTAGGTATGAAAGACATGGTATTTTGATTAGTCTTTCAAAATCTTTCTCTAAAGCAAATGACAGACTTGAATATAAAATAGAAAGGAGGAGAGAATATATAGACCTTTAGGCTTTCTCGGTATATCATGCAGATGGGGAAAAGAAAAAAGCACCAATATCCTTATTTTTTTTTCCCTTTTAAATCACCTCTAAATGGTATTCTATACTTTTGTCTTGCTTTTTTGTTTCTATTTGTACAGAAATCGTTGTGAACTTACAAAATCAGTTTGGCAAGCTGTCTGGTTCAGTGCAACCTGCTGAAAAGCCAAATCCTTCAAGTTTTCAGTTAAACTGGTCTGAAGAAAACACAAATGGGAGTTGTTTTCATGGGCATAGCCTGAAGGGAATTTTGCAAGAAAAATGTGGCTTGCTTACAGCCATGAACCCTGACTATTGGCTGTGTACAGTTAAACTATGTACTGAGAAGTAAGTACTCAAACTGTTATAAATATATTTATTTTTTCTTGAAAGTTCTGAAAATAAAGTACCATTATTTTTATAAATGGCAAATAAGGGGTGAGTGCACAGTTACGTATTCACGTATAGTTAAAATCATTTGTAGAAAGGGGTGTGTGCGCAGTGGTTAGTCTTGGACTGGGTGTAGACAAATTGTAATATGAAGAATGATCAAAGTGAGCTTTTGAGAAGAGAGGAGATGAGACAAAATCAACAACTGAAGTCACATGGTAAGAGTAGCAGCTAGGCAGAAATATTCACTTCCTTCTTCACAGTATGTTAGACAAAGCTATTGCACCACAATTCTCCAGAGAAAGGGAAAACTATTTCACCCCCTTCCCCCCACCGCCACCTCTCAACCTCTCCAAAAAAAGCATAAGAATTCATTTTGTAAATCAGTATGCTGCTTTAATTAATGTTAAAATTAGTGATTGGAGTTCAATTAGTTGCACTTTGTGCTTCCAAAATATATTTCAAAATAAAAGGATTGGGAGTGAAAAGGAAACTATCACTATTTCGTCTAAACATCTCAGCTATCAACAGTTGTATCTTTTCGTTTTATCTTTTGCAAGCAGACTGGAATAGTAAAAGAAGAAATCTGGGGAAAGGAAATGTTTTATGCTATGAAAAGCATTTAATGTCTGTCTTATTAGAGAACTGTTCTCAAATCTTGACTTCACAAGCAAAGTAGAATTTGATCTTTTAATTTTTCAGCTAAGTATATCTCAAAACAGTCATGCTATTTTTTCATATAATTATTTTCTTTAAATAATTAAGGGATTTAAAAAGCAAGGAGAAAACGATAGCCTCGCTAACCCGGCTTGTAGAAATTCGTATAGATAGTTCACTGTCTGCCTGGTTTGTGTCAGACTTATCACTCCTCCTTTAATACCTTTTGCTCCTGTGTCAAATTCTGCAAAATCCAGTGAGTAGTCTACTTGGTGGGTCCTGGCAGAGAACCGTGGCCAACACGGTCTAGCGATAGAAAGCAAAAGCCCTAGTGAGGGAGCGCACGAGTTCAGTAACGTTTTCCCCAAGGAGCAGGGAATATCTAAAACCGAGTCTCACAAAACTCCCTTGGTGATGTAGGTAAGGCTACTGAATTGTATGCCCGCTTTTGGTTCTGCCATTGTTTGTATCATGAAATCCTAATCCAGCAGGTGAATGTACTGGTGAACTTCACTGGAAAAGATGGTCTTTGCGGAGGGATTGAATTCTCCTCAATTTCTGGTGTGTGCAATTCGAGTGTGTTTTGAGGAAGGAGGTCAGGCTATGTTACTGAAATCTTATTTCACATTAGTATGTTAAATAACATCTTAAATCTTTATCTGATATATGCTTCTACATTTCACGCTTAAGAGAGCAATAGCCGCTACAGAAACTTAGTAATGCATTTCTGATTTTTAAAATATTATATATTCCCTTTGAGAATAACTGGGTTTTACATGTGTGCAGGTTTTTCTGTCTTTTACTGGATTTATTTGCTTATCTTTATTTTCCTTTTCATATTACCTTTCACATATCCACCGTGACAGAAATGGGTTGGAATAATGTAAACACAGTGTTATATTACAAGAGCTTTGGTTGTATGGATTCATTCTTTTGTATGAACAAGAAGCTTTTCTGAGGGGAGGAGGGGTAATAATCCTTCTACCGCAAATTTGCGTAAATCTTACATACACAGTGAATGAGTAGATATTTCAGTTTGTTTGTGTGAATAACCTTTTCATGCAAAGTCTGGTTTTAAACCTACATTTTCATATATAATATATTAAAATGTTAATGGCAAACTCACAGCCCTCATGAAAACAAGATTTGAATTTAAATTCTTACCAGTTAAATTTCCCATTATATCATTTGCAATGCAAGTAGTTAATTATACATCTGACACTTACTTAACTTTGGAAAATAAAATATACTCCCTCAGATATGAGGTTTTATCCTACATAAGAGTGTGTCTGTATAATAGAACTAAAAGCAAACTTACAAATTCTTTCTCTAAAAATCAGAGTGGTCTAACTGGGACTACTGAAATACTTTCATACTGTGGCTAATGTATGATTTCGTTGTGGGCAGAGCTGAGGTTCATAAAATCGTTGATCATTTGTCTTTATGTTTTCAATTATTGTAAAGCTTTAAATTTTGAACTGAATTCTAAATTCACTGGGTATATAACTGCATTTTGAAATAATACAGGATGATGTATTATAATATATGAGAAATTTTGAGAAAAATGGATGATCTTTTCCCTTAGTACATCAAAACTGTGAAGTGATTTTAAATTTAATTAGCTCTTTTTAGATTCTCTTACAGTAAACAGCTGGAAAAATAGCACAAAATGGGAAAAGATGTACATGTATGTATGTGTGTGTGTTTAGGTACTCTTGTGAAAAGGGCAGCTCCAATTAATCAAATAGATGCTTTACAGTATCGCTGTAATGCATTTGCCACAGAATATAAAGCATCGTCTCTTCCCACCCCTCCCCAGTGAAAGCTGAAATTCGACACCTAAATTATCCTAAGAGCTATAATTGCTGAATCGCAAGTTTAAGGCTAGGACATGACACCGTGGTATGTTTGTTTGTTTGTTTGTTTTTTCAGTTGGCCAGAAAATGCAGATTTGGTTCAACCAAAATCTTTTAGAAAAGAAGCTTGAATTTAGCACATGCTTTGGGGTGAAGGAAAAACATGGGTTGGGCTGTGGAGTCAGCTGGATCTTTCTGACACTGCTGAAAGGAACAACTTAATTTAGTTTTCGTAAGAGGCCTTTGGCAGCTTTCGCAGAACGTGAGGAAAGATCTGTAGGGCAGAGGATGGACCTCGGACGTGAGAGACCATGTTTCAAATTCCCTCTCTGCCTAACTCAGGGGAAGGATTTAAACGAAGACTTTGCTCCCTGAAGTGTGGCTTGCATGACGCTCTGGAATGGGTCTCTCTGTTGCTCCAGTTTGAGGTAAAACGTAAATGTTTGTTGGGCCAGAGGGAGTGAGCAAATGACTCTGTAGTCTAGTAATTAGCACACTTGCCCGTAAATTGGGACAGACAGGTTCCAGTCCTTGTTCTGGTGAACGTTTAAAACTGTTGCTCTGAATCAGACAGAGAGGAAGTCTAAACTGCAGTTCTGCCCGTCCGAAGGCAATGCCCCGGTAGGCTAGATGATGTTTGGGGCTTATACAGTGAATGGCACCTAAGTCCCCATATGAATGTAAAAGGTTCTTTTTTTCAATTGAAATAGCTGTATCTTCTGTTATTGTAAACTCAGCACGTTTAATAAAATCAAATGTCGGGCTAAGCCACGTTGAGGTTTCTTTCCAATTTAAAACACTGAACCAAGAAGTAATACTGCACTTGAACAGTGCCCTGTTACTGGTCGTTTGCAGAGCTGTCTGCACAGTCTGTCCTCCGAGTCATCTCTTGTTCCAGTTTGATGCTTGTTACCAGTAAGAACAGTATGCTATTTTCATTATATACTTCATCAGTAAGATTACCTCCTCGTTCTTCATAAAATGTTTGTCATGATAGCTAATAGCAGAAGGTTACTATAGCACTCCTCTTTCTATCAGCCTGACCAATGTTTGCCTTATTGTTTCCTGTGTTACTTCATTGGCCTGAATTAAGCTTTTCCCTTTTGTTTTTAGTTTTATATTTAGCATACAAAGGCAATGGACAAGAAATGGACTGGTTACAATCACATGGCATAGTGGTAGGAAGAAGAGAGCGAAGCCTAGGGAGAGTACGTGCAAAGGAGAATAGAGAAGAGGAAGGAGCCTGGGGTGTCTGCATTGGACAGGCTTAGTAATTTTAAAAACAGGTTAAGATAGCTATTTTTACACTTTGCTATATTTGTTAAAAGCCACCAGAAAAAATACCCTTTGAATTTGGTTCTGAAGGCTGAAGAACATACCCTCCGTCTGGTTCAGTATGATCCTGACTCACAGTGCAAGAAGCTGTACACGTTTTTCTCCTATACCATATCTGTATCTAATCTCTGAACCATATCTGTATCTAATCTCTTTGGCCTAGTCTTTTAAGGTTTTATGGGAGTGAATCCTTTTACAGAGCTGGCATTATAGGCCAGAATTGTGACTGATGGTATAGATAAAATGTTGGCGTTTTCGTCTAATTACAGTTCAGTATATACAAGCTAACTAAATGCTAACTAAATACGCTTCTGATTTAGGGCTTTATCTTTCATTTCAGGTTGTGTGGTCATCTGGCTCATTACAGAGAATTGGACTTTCCTCAGAGTTACCATTTTGTACTAAGGTTGTTCTCCTTTCTTCTGAGGATACAGCCCTCTTATATCCATGAAGAGGTGTGTGTGATAGAACACAAACTTTTTAATAAAAAGCTCTATAAAAAGCCAAAATACAACCCAGGCCGAAGGAAATAGAAAGGCCTAAAAATAATAGTATTCAGGTTGTGTACCTTAGGAGTTATTTCCATCCCAAACCATGATATCACATCTAAACTTATTCTGATCCTTTTGCCTGCGAAGAAATCTTATGATAACATAGCAGTGCTGAGATTTACTACTGCACTTTGGTTGTGGTGTCATTTATCTATAATCTAAAGTCACCAGTTTCCAAATGGGAGAGTTACTAAGGAAACTGTTTACCAAAATTTATTTCCTCCTTTTGTATGAGAGCCAACAGGAGGCTAGGAAGTTAGCGTTTCTGGCATAATTGTACATACTTTGAGTGTGCTGGACAGCATGTTAGCATCTAATTATATTGTAAGATTTTGCAATTAAAATGCTGTTTTGTTACCTACTGTTGTATGACAGCAAATACATTTCTAGAAAGTAATATTTACTTTTCTGTGAAATAGCGTGCTACCAAATAAAAGCAACAGATGGTTGATGTTTTCAGTGTGGTGATTTGTTAAGTCATTGTTTATCTAAACAGTCTGTTCTGGAGAAACTCTGGCACTGTTTTCTACATTTCTGTGCTTTCTGAGCAGGTTCCGTTCCAGGCTTCGTGGTTCTTCTGCAGGTACTCTCGACGCCTAGAACTCCCCTTCCTGCTGCTTGTGCATCAGTCACTGCCGGGTTCTCCTGTCATTTTTCTTTTGCAAGGCGACTGTCTTTTGAATTGCACTTAATTTCTTCTGATAACTTTATAATTTTGCATCTTCAGCAGCCTGAGCCTCAGCCATTATACCAGTTTCTCATGCTCAGCATTATTTATACACTATGTTTTTTTTAAAAACTGTCTCAGACAATGTGTAAATGAAGTTGGGTGCTACCGCTACATTAAAGACACCCTAGCATATGTTCAACATATGTTGAACAGAGGTGTTGAGTAGATATCCAGATGAATAATACTACTTTCAGTGGAGTGAAATAAAATCCAGCAACTCCATCCCACACACTAAGCATACAGAAGTTGCTAAATCTGTTTGATCAACAACAAAACAGCTCTTTGTAAACATTATTACAGACAAGAAGAATGCTGTGTGCAGACTTTAAAAAGAATAAAATCTTACTTCTTGAGCAAGGAGCTTGGACTTCAGTGAAGTGGCAGGCTCTGGGTATGAGGGAAGGGTTTTAAATCTGTTCAACCTGTGAAGCTGCTGTTCAAAAACTGGTAACGGGTGAATGATAGGAGAGGAGGTGGGCTGCCCTACCTGTCTGGAGCACAGTGAAAAAACAGTGTTTCAAGCATGGGTAGAGCAGACAGATAGGTGTGGAAGCCAGGGAGGGTAGGCTGTTAAAGATGAGTTGTAACAGCTGGAAATGCTGGCAAACCAGGAGGCTTCGCTGTCTCAGAAGTAGGAGCAGAAAGTAATTGAAAGTGGTATCCTTGTTTATGGTCACAGAAAAGATACGGTTTGGGTGGAAGTTTTCACTTTTACAGACATTCAGAGTAGTTCTTAAGATCACAGTAGAACAGGGATTTAGTGCAGCGGTCCCATAAAGTGCTGTAACATGCCTGTGATGCAGATAAGGAAGCACAGTTTTAGCAGCGCAGAACAGTGTGGTTGGTGAGGGGAAGGGGGAAGAGCAGATGGAGTTGTTACTTGTATGTGTTAAATCTGTTTCATAAGTGGTGTAGTTTAGTATGTCTAAATCTACTGCCACTTTGTGCTAGATACCTCAGACACTTCTGAAAAGGCGTATTGAACTGGTAATTACACCTAATGGAATCAGAATACACCGATTTGAATCAGCTCTTGAGTTTTTTGTTTTTCTTTGTATGTTAAAATTACCTATTAAATTTAATATGATAGATCTCACTTGAGTGATGGACTACAGTTGGTAGGTCTTTGGAAAAAATATTCATTGTTCTTGTTTTAGGTGAATACTTGTATCAGTAGTTAAAATTCTACAAAAATGAAATATACATTGTCATTCTTTTTAAGCCTTGCTCAAACTACTAAAAGCATCTGATTCTTTTTACTATGTCTGTGAAAGTTTTGAGTTGCCTATCAAAAAGACACCTTATTATACAGAAAGCATTAATTTAATTCAGAAGTCTTTATTTGAAAGACTTCTGCACTTCGTTATAGGTTCACCTTTCTTTTAAACCTTCTGTAGTAGGAAAATCTGAGTTTCGTAAATTAAAAATGCTGTGCTCCTTGTTACGTTGTTACAAATGTAACAAAGCTCCCTGAGATGTTAGAATAAATTAAAATTGTACTTTAATAAACTGGAATAAAGCTTGCAATTAGTCATCAAGAGCCATGTGCCTCCTGGACACATAGGTTAAGAGTCGGATTTAAAAGTAAAGGGTGTGCCTCTAAAATACTTAATGTTAGTTCCATCTAGTTTAATCAATCAACACTTATGTTGGAGTAATGACGTTTAAGAAACTGATGAACCACAAGAGTGCCTTATCTTCAGTGAAGTGTAGCTGAGCTCTCTTGGGACAACTACTTTGAGTCCAGTTAATGTAACTGTGAGGTGGAGTCACACTGGTTAAACAGACAGCTACTGGTGGATAGCCGAAGGGTAGGGTGTCTACCTCAACCCAGCACTTCCAACTACCTTTTCTGTCCTTTAAGTTGTAGCTCCAATCTATAACTGTTTGCTGAAAATGTCCAAGGAAAGCTCAACTTTTTGTACAGTGCAGTACATAAAAGCTCTGTGGTTTTTAGATTAAAATTTCAGAACATTATATATTGAAAAATTTAGAACAGTAAAATGATTTTGTTAACTTACACATAGCAGATGCCTTACGTAGCAGTTGTTGAGACCGTGATATGCCTTCTAAAGTGAATTTAATCTTTTCCTGTACTTCATGTATTGTATTTTAGTATGCAAATTTTTCTATCTCTAAGAGTACCAATGTAACCTTGTTTTATGAATTTTCCTAAATACTGCAACCTTTCTCTCTCCTGATTTAATGGAGAAATAGGAGAGGTCTTCTAATTCTCATTTGGAAGTTACAGCTTTCAACAGAATTGGAATTTTACCTTACTAGTTTTTCACTACCTCAGTGTGTTTGCCTTCTCAATATCGACTTAAAATCAGTCGTTAGTTATACAGAACAACTTAAAATACCCTTTTTAAAGTTTATACCGTTTTCCAGACGTGAACGGGAGATGTTTGACTTTCTCCTTGACCTCTTATGCAGACTGAGGGCCTTGAACCTGGTTGAACAACATTGCAGAGAAGCAGGGAAGCCCTGTGCCTCTACGCAGTACTAGTCCAGTTTACTGGCCGTAGCGTATTGTGTGGTCTTCACCGTAATTGCATCCCAACCCTCTATTTCTAGCATGTCCCCTGAAACAATGGCGTTTGGAAGATTTGAGGAAGCTTTGTGTAATGTTGTAGGCTATGTGAGAAGAGTAACTCGCTCTCATAACTTTCTAGAAAGCTCACAAGAATCCTCTCTTCTGAATGACTAACACTGATGACTTTGCCTTTATGGACAGAAACAATTTTGCTGATGCTCCTGAGAGGTTCTTCCAGGGGTGTCTATGAGAAGCTGTCAGAGGATGCTTTAGCAAGGCTGAGAGCAAAAGGGCAGGGACTGCAGGCCTTTGGGGGAAGTTACGGTCTGAAAATATGAAGTCTCTGAATAGTTGTCTGCTCTCTGAGCCATCCATCTACTCCCCACATCTGCGTAAGGCAGAGGCATTGAAGAGTCAGGACAGTTTTGTTTAACGAATCTTGTATTTCAGTCCAAAATGAAATGTGCTTCCCAGGAAATAAGGGTCATGTATTTCCTGGCTGAGCAGGTTAGTATGTGGACTGGCCAAAGCAGCGTCTTCCAGTGCTTTTATCCTAGCGCTAAATGCAAAATGCTTACTTTCCAGTCTCTCCTCTGTGTTTATTAGTGTCTTGTCCCCTCAGATGTGAAACTCCTTTGCTGCTGGCCAGATTAGATGAGGGAGAGCATAAAGGGGATGCCAAAGTGTAGAAACAGGTATGCATGAAAGAGCTTTCCTCACTGCTGCTTGTGCTAGGAAACTGCTGAAAGAGTGAACAAAGGACTGAGTAAGGATTGGCAGAACGCGAAACGATGAATGCTTGTGTCCTCACATGAGGTTAGAGCTGCCCTTCTGCAACTGCTAACGGCAGCATTTTGAAGGAGCCAGAGCACTCCTCGCCTCTCCCTCAGCCTCAGCATCTAAAATCTACTTCCATCAGTAAATCCAATAGTTTTAAAAGAAAACACACACTATGAAATTCTTCCTTTCTGCAGCTGCTTCCTATAATCTCATATGGCTGCTCTGGATGGTAGCAATGTCTGTGCCTGTTCCAAGGCTCCCTGTTGTCCTAGCAGTGGCTTTGCTCATTAGCTGCAGACCCTGCCATTCCCTACCAAGACGTTCACCAAGTGTGTTTAGCACCTGTGCTGTGATCTAACGAGCGTGATCTGGATCCCAGGATGCTTCTGTGCTGCATGGAGGATACCAGCAACGTTGGTTTGAGTGAACGTGTCGTGCCTCTGACAGGATTGCCTGAGCGGTGTGGAGCAAGTGGCTGCTGCAAGAGAGAGGGAGTGAAGAGGCCACCTTATTACATGTACGAGGAAGAGGAGGGTCGAAGGGCCACAGCAATAAGGTCGGGATATTAGATGTCAGAGCTAGTGAGTTCCTGGTGAACGATTCAGCTCCTGAAAAAGTAGGCAGACTTCATGTCTGGGGTCAGGGTGATTGTTGTAGCACAGCTCTGATGGTGGTCCTGCAAGGTGGACCTGCAAGGCTCCTGGTGATGGCCTCTCTCCCAGTTGCTTGGTAACATGGTCCAACTCTGGGATGCTGTAAAGTGAATTCATCTTGCCCAGGATCTCATCTCTCTCGAGATTGCTTGTTACTCGATCATCAGTAAGTTGCGCTATTCCAATAAAAGACTGTGACAAAACATTTCATTTACGGGAGGGCAGTTAGTCACTGGGATCCATGGTGTTTAGGACTTTTAACTGGGCAGCTGAGTGATTTTTATGCTGTAGAGCAAAGTGGATTATGCACAAAACCTTAAGCACTGAACGGCATGCGACAAACGAATTACACATGCTGATCTTTGCTACGCTTCCAACAGAACGGTGAAAACCACTGCACTGTCAGCCTGCGTGGTGGGACAAACGTACAAGAAAAGCACATCCAAGGGAAGTGCTTTATTGAGCAGAGATGAAAAGTACTCAGGGAGACTAGTTAGCATGCCAAAGATTTTATTGTAGATAAATTCTAGACTTCAAATTGACTTTTTTAAAATGTAGACTACTGCAAAATTGATTCATTGATATTGTAATTATTTCAAATGTCCTAAGTCAGGCTGATGAATCTCCCCTCAAATAACCCCTCAAAAGTCCTTAATATCTTCACAATTTCTACCTTAAG